GCAAACCCCTTCCCAACAGAGCCCGAGCTCTGAGGAACCAGCATCAGGAACTGGCTAAGAAAACATCAACAAGGCACCACCCCACTCCTAAAAAAAACCAACCCCAAGATAAGAAAACCCCCCAAAGCCCAAACCAGCAACAATAAAGAGGCAAGGAGCGATCAGCCTGGTCTGACAGGATCGTCAATGCTCCTTCGTTCTGGGGACAGCAGTTTATCTCAAAGACCCTCCATTCAGCCTTTGTCCCTGCAGGCTGTGGAAAACAAGAGCCCCTGGCTGACTCCTGTCCCCTGCAGCTGAAAGCAGGGTGGGTTCCAGTCTGTGCCTCTCCAGAAAACAGCACTGGGACTAGAGAGAAAAGGCCACAGCAAAAGCTTTGTGCACCAGTACCTTTCCCCTCCTTGCCTTCCATTGTCGTACTAACCTGAAGTCACCGGTTTTATTGCCCCTCATCCCACTCCCTGTGTGTGTTCCCTACAAACTCTAACCAGCCTGCTCGTTCACACCTTGGGAAGGAGTGTTCACCAGTTTTATACACTTGCCACACTTGGGAACTTTTACGAGGCTAAAAAAGCACGAGCAAGGCACCCAGGGGGTGAAATAAGTCCTCTGCAATGAGAGCACAGCCCCCAGCTTTGAGTTCTGCTGTGAGGTAATCCATGGTACAGGCACAAATTCACCACAGTTACGTCACCTGATGATGAACATTCCATGAAAGCGGAGTTGCCAAACTGTTAGAACTGTTTTGGGTTGTTTTTTTTTTTTAAATCATAACATTAAAGCACAAGTAAAAAAATCCCACAAATACAAACTACATAATAAATAACTCATGGTGCTTTCATAAAAATCCGCTACGAAAAATTACCCAGAGCTTAATGAAAACCATGCAGGCACTGGAATCCTACACCCAGCGTGCCCTCCAAGTAGGAACAGGAACAGCCCTGCTAGTGCTGCTATGATTTAACCTGTTTATAAAGCTGGGAAAAGCTCCAGCTGCAATCCCACCTCTGTTTTTTGTGCCTTCCTGTGGTCGCAGGCGCAGAAAATAAAAAGAAATAGCAGAGCAGGAGTGAAGCAGCAACACCACACAACACCTTTACTCTTCCCGGTGCTGGGTGTGGTGGCAAACCCCTCATTGCCCGGTGCCCCTCACCTGAAAGCTGTTGGGAGGCCAATTGCAGCAGGGATGAGTTGGTGGGGTGGTGTGAGGAGTTTGGAATTCATGGGCTGTGCTCAGATCCCAAAACAAGTCACCCTGACACTGCTGTGTCACACTGAACACGTGGCTTCATCCCAACGGTGAGCACGGAACCTCTTCTGCACCTGGGATGTGACAGATAACACACACTGGGAAATGGGATCGAGTTCTGCTCTCTACTGTGTGTAATCTGCCCACCTAATTTGCATAATTATCCCGATATCCCACGTGCTCCAGGTTCTATCATCTGAAACCCATGGTCTGTACAAACCACTTCCATCTGTATCTCCACGGAAGAATTTCTTTCTTGCCCATCCCGTTGATTTCTCTGTTTCTGCAGCAGAAAGCACAGTTTCTGTGAGACTCTCCAATGCATTGTCCTTTGGTTTTGTTTTGTTTTTTTTTTTTGGCTTTTATAACCAAGAATACATTGCAATTAGCCAAAGTTCTTGGGGGCAACTGAAACATGTGGATAATAAAACTCAGAAATGCAAACTCTCCTTCAGTCCCTTCCACAGAGCCCCCAGAAGCAGCACTTTTGTCTGTAAATGCCTTATTGAAAGCCAAGCCCTGCAGTGACACTAAAAGACTCCAACCAAACACATGTCCCAAACTAATTAATTCCCCCTTGCACTGGGCAGACAAGGAAACCCCAAGGGCAGCCTTCAGATCTGTTCTGGTGCCTGAATAAAAGAAAAAGGAAAAAGGAAAAGCTCTCACACCCTTACTGACACCATTTCGTACTCTACAGATGCAGCTTTTCCTGGTTCAGTGGAATTACCCACTTCCAAATGAAGGTCACAGAGCTTTTCCTTTTTCCTTTTCCCCTTCCCTTTTTAACCTGCTCACGGCTGGAAAACTCGGTGCCAGAGGAGATTAGAGTAACAAAGCTCACAGGCTTCGAATCAAACCACAGACTTCACCTTGCTCTAGTTCATCTTCCATCAATAACAGCTGAAGCTGCACAGAAAAATCCACATCACTTCAAGGCTTTTTAGAATTCGAGAGGTGCAGACAGCCCAGGAAAAATAATGGTGAAAGCACTGCAGCAATTACTCAAATGCTGCTAAAATACTCGGTCAATGCATGGAGAAAATCCCCATGGAAAATATACAGGTATATATGGGAATAAATCCCATAAAGGAAGAGCAAAATTTGCTTCAGGAAAATAGAAGAAATCAAATTTATGGGTAGACTTTTGGATAAATGTGTGGATAAAATGGGCATGGTTAAAATGGCAAGTATAGAAATGAAAAAAAAAAACCAAAAACATAAAAGAGGGAAGAAATAAGTGTTCTTGTAGTTTTAGTATCTCTTATTTCCACAAGTCATAAAGTGAAAGCTTTAGATGTTGGACACTTGAGATGCTTTTAAGATTAGATAATTTAGCTAAGAATCCTTATTACATGAAAAGCAATGGCATGTGCTTATTGTTAGATAATTACATTAGGAATGGCCTCTCAGGCAGAGGGGATTCTCAGGAAACAGCCTTACATTTGTGTAAAACCTCCCAATGCCAAGGGAGAAGATAAGCCTTATAAAAGGAAAGAAAATGACCTAAATAGGAAGAGCTTCACAAGTTCCTGCAGGAGCTCAGCATCCCTGAGGGCAGGAAAATGAGGATAACTCAGGATTCAGTGCTTGACTTCAAGCACTTCTTCGTGTTTGCATTTCTCTTCTGTTTGAGCTTTGACTAAAGCACAGGGAAGTCCCTGAAGTGTAACATATTTAACCAAAAAACCTCATCAATAAGTAATTGCCAACAATCTCAAACCAAGCAGTATTTTAACTTGTGACCTTTCATGCAAAAGTCACATTTAGCTCTGTCTGTTGAACTGAAGGAAAAGGCCTTTGCTCCACAGGTTTCCAGAAACTTGAGCTCGGGGTTCTCTTTGAGGTCAGACTTACACCACAATTCTAGAATTTCCTTTCAAAGGTAGACTTATTCCCTAAAAAACAACCCCTCCCAAATGAAAATTTATGAAAACAAACTGGAAAAGTTGTATCAGGTTTACTAAAGTGAAAATATTGATAGCTGTTGCAGCTGTAAGACAATTACAAAACAGGGGGATGGAAGAATTAAAGCCTAAACAAAAGAGTAATTAATAATAAGAATTAAAGCCTAAACAAAAGAGTAATGAATAACAAGACTGTTTAACCATTTGCCAATATCCTTTAAACTACTCAAACATCTGCAAAATTATCCACCTGGAAGAAATTAAAGGTAATGTAAAAACTATTGCTTTGCCAACGGCTGAAAGCTCATCTGCTCACGTTTTTTTGCCTCTTTTTTTGTTTATAAATAGATAAATAAATTTAGAAACGCAGCAATAGGTCAACAGCGACGTTCGCCACTAAGAAGTCAGATATTCCCAAGATTTTGGCATTTCAGAATTCCTTATTTTTGTGCATATGAGTGGAACCCACTGGAGTGAAGAGAGCTGGGCACTGACATAAAGAATTCAGTGGAATGCAGAGACTGGAAAGGCCTTGACAAAATTTACCAGTCAGTATTTATATTTTTTAATATATTTATATATATATATGTATAAAGCAATGACCCAAGAACGTGTCAAAATGTCTGAAATAGCAACTTGTTCACAGAAAACAGAAAAAATAAGCAATAATTTCTCTGTGACTCAGACAGGGATCATTTCCTGCTTTATCTCTTGTGTTGTTAACAACCACAACTCCAGTTTGCCCTGACAACAACGGGCACAACGTGACAATATCGGGCAGTCCCCTGTGAGGGGATAAAATGGCCATGAACATCTTTTTAAAAGGATGAGGAGATATCAAAGAGTTTTGGTTGTTTTGGAGGTTTTTCACTTACCAGTGACACACCAGTGTCACACACCTCCCAATTCATCCAGCATTGGGAGGGAAATAAATGTCAATACTGGGAAAAACTTCCCAGTCCCTGAGCAGTGTAACAGGCGAGGACAGAGAGAGAAATTACCTTCATTTTAGTGGAGAAACGTGCCACAACCAGCAGCCCTGCAAACCCCCCAATAATGGAGTGTTCATGTAAACCTTCTTACCTGTAGCCTTGTAAATCATTTCCCAATTCTTTCGCCGCAGGGTATTTACAGCATTACCGAGTTACAAATTATCCCTGTTCCCACGAAGGCCCGGCGAGTGACCAGCGTTTTAATTAGAATTAGAGCACCAGGTACAACAGCCAACAGGGCACACGCGAGGTATCGTTTGCTGCACACCGTCCCTGCACTCTGGGCGCGATAAAATGGGGGGTAACGGGAATTTTCCATCACCCGGGACCATCCTTGTAAAAACTGAATGCATAAGCCCAGCTGTGCTGTGACACTGTGACAGAGGCAATATAACAGCTGGGGGAGTCTCTGGGGGGCGCGGGGCCATGTCCCATCGCATCCCGGTTATCCCCAAACACAGGGAAGCCGCAGCCTGGCTGAGCAACCTGTAGCCGTGCTGGGTGACTCTGCCCTCGGCAGGTTCCCTCGGGCTTCGGGGAGTGCCGAGCACTGCAGTTACTAATTCCTTCTGTTCCAGTGGTGCGGGGTGCCCACGCCCGGGATTCCGCGGGACGATTGATGGAGCGGGACGATGGAGCGGGATGATGGAGCGGGACGATGGAGCGGGAGATGCTGCCGCCAGCCCACCTTCCCCGGCGGTGCCCACCCCTCCTGCTGCCGCGCGGGCCCGGCGCCCACCTGCGCCAGGTAAGCCCGCCGTGCCGAGCGGCTGCCGGGCCTCCTTCCCGCCCGGCGGATTCCAGGGAATGCCGCGAGGGCGGCCCCGGTGCGGGCGGTCCCGCCCCGTGACGCCGGTGGCCATCGCGGCCGCGCCGCCGGCCATGGCGGCGGAGGAGGAGGACGACGTGGAGTGGGTGGTGGACACGATCGCCGGGTTCCTGCGGGGGCCCGCCTGGTCCATCCCCATCCTGGAGTTCATGGAGCACAACTGCGAGGGTGAGCGCCGGGCCGGGCGGGCGGGCCGGGCGGGTCCCCGATCGCCCCGCGGGCTCTGTCCCCGCTCCGCGGTGTCCCCCCGGTGCCCGGGGCTCTGCGGGAACGGGCGCGGCCCCCGCCGGGCGCTCCCGGGGCCCGCGCCGGCCCCCGAGCCAGCCCCGTGCCAGGACTCGCATCCATTAGATCGTCCTGGGATTACGGCGGGAGCTTACGGCTGACACCGGGCGAGAGCTGCGCCCCGCTCGGCCTCCAAGGCTTTCCCAGAGCCGCGGGTTTTCCGTGGGAAACCGGGCAGGACAGCCAAAAGCGCCGCCTGGCCGGTGGGACAGAGGAGGAGAAGGCCCAAAGTTAAGTTCCTGCAGTTATGTGAACGTTTTCAGTTCAGAGGTGAGAAGCCCTAAATTAGTACCTCCCAGAAATGACAGTCAGCACTAAAAATCAATGGGTACCAGTCGTGTGTTGTAGTTGGTCCTGTGCATGAGTTTAGCTCGGAAGCAACTCCAGTTAAACCTGCTTTTCTTCCTCAAGAAGGAAAGGAGGGAATCAAGGAAGAACTTGGGGAACAGCCTGGAAAAGTGGAAGTCCAGGCAGTGAGGGGGACCTGGGATCACCCTGTAGCCCGGGGAGACCTGTACAGGCGTGTCTGTAGTGAGGGAAGGAGGAAACACTTCCTGATGTAGAGATTTGGCTAAATTACTTCTGCTGCTCACAGAACAATTTCTCCTGCCCAAAGAACACCTGGAGCCTTATGGGACCAAAATAGAGACAATCTGGGCAAGTCTGAAAGCAGTGCCTAAACCCTTTGGAAACCGAAAGAAGCTTTAATTTGCGATTATTGACAAAAATTGCTTCTCAGTTACCCGGAATCATCTCTACTCCTCCCAGGCTTTACCTGAGGCATGGTCATCGTGGGGCCCGTACACCTTGCCCTACTACAGCAGGAAATGAGGGAGGGAAAGCTGCTGGAGGTGGGAAGGGATAGGGCAATCCAGCCTGGAAGCGTTCTCCTGGGAAGCCTGCCTGAAGTTGGCGAAGCGCTGCGGTCTCATGCGAAGGGTGTAGGTTTAGGTGTCCAGGGAATTGATTTATCCCTCTCGGGAGCGATGATCTCTCTTTAGAAGGTTGAGGGGAATTTGCAGGCAGTAAGAAGATTGTGGGCCCGCTGTAATTTTCCAGGGCTGGGATGGGGCCTTCTGCTGGGCTGATCCCACTGCTGCCCTTGCACCCACAGACTTTGTCAGGGCACAGTTCTTCACGTTGCCAAAACATTCGGTCTTTGGGCTGGACAAGCAAATTAGCAACGTTTTCATCAACTGACAATAATTTGTGATTGCTCAAAAATACCATGTGAATTTTGGCAAGTCGGTGTGTAAGGAATTCATTTTGGAACTGTAGTTGCTTGGGCCCAGTCCTTGCACTTCAGCTTGTAAATGATCATAATGGTTTTCTATCTCTTCCTGGCTGTTTTCTTTCCCTCTCCCATGATTTCTTATGGCTGCACCGATTTCCTTTGATGTGGAACTGCACTTGAGTCGATGGGTGTGTATTTAGGGCAAGAAGGCTTTCTAGTTTTACTCAGATGTTCCAAGGTGCTCACTGAAACATCATTTGGGCATAAATAAGATTGGTAATAGCTGTGAGCACCAGCAGATAAAGGTACAAAAGCAATAAACAGCCCTTGTGGCCTGGGACTCCCTCCCAGCACAGAACCACCTCACCAGCCCGTGACTCAAACCAAACTTGACTTGAGCTCATCCCATTTGAGGGGTTCTGGGCAGGATTTTCAGTTTTACCAGGAAAATGGTGAGCTTGTCTCCCGGGATATCAGGGTCCCCTGGCTTGTCGTGACAGGGTGGTTCTTCATATCTTTGGTGCTGTTGGGCAACCAGAGGCTCTGTGCCAAAACCCTAAAGGAACAATGACTGTGTGATTTAAGAGCCCTGACTCAATGAAATCCAAGGTCTCCGTTCCAAGCGCTCCTAATGCCACTTAGCCGGGAGGAGATGCTGACTGCAGCTCCCTGCACGTGGCACTGAACTTCATCCCAGCGTGTCCTGAGCCTGAGGACAGAGCACAGCCCTGTGTCACCCAGGACAAAGGGAACAGAGAAGCCAGAGGGGAAGGTTGGGGTCTGCAAAGGGCTGTGAGGGATCCCCGGAGGGGAGGAGGTGCAGGAGGCAACAGGGGCTGTCAAATGTCTCCACCCTCTCGGCTTTGGGAATGTGGTGGTTGCCATGGGAGTAAGATTTGTACAACATTTCCTGCCATTTGAACTTATTATTAGATATTTTAAAATAATTCGATTTTTATTTTTTTTAATTTCTTCGTTAAAATCGTCGCCTCGTGCAAAAAAAACCAAAAGCGCCGTTGCTGTTCCAGATTCTGATTAAAAAGCAAGTTTTCTTTGCTTATTATGAGGCCTGAAGTGTGTGATTGGATTTCTCTCCCTGCACTTGCTGGGAGGGGTTAGGAAGTGGTGGCAGTGCCTCCTGCTTTAGGAACTGCCACCTCCTCCAGGCTCAGGGCACTCCCAGCCGGGAAAGGCCTCGGAGGAGCTCACAAAGTCATCCCAGATGTGGGTGAAGGTCACACTAATTCCATGGGCATCACCCCCATCAGGGATGTCACCTACGTGTGAAGATTAAACCACCCTCGTCCACCAGTTCCAGCAGAATTCCCGTATTCCTCCAGCCACTTCAAAGGATGCTCCCGGGAAGTGACTTGTCTGACACGGAGTGGCTAATCCTGAAGGGGATTGAGGCAGCCTTATTTCTAAGCCTCTGCTTTAATTGCCAGGTTTTACATTACCTCTCTTCTTTGTTGGCATGAAAAAAATGTAAATTAACCCCCCCCCCCAAAAAAAAAAAACCCTTAGTTTTCAGCTTCCCTGGCATTCTGCTCCTTCCACCTCCTCTGCAGCGTGGAGGTCGTGAGCCTGATAGTTCCACCCAGGAGTTCTTGAGATGGGTTTATACAAACAGGATTAAAACAGAACTTCACCACATTTCCTCCTTGGGTTTGCCTGGTTTTATGCAGGCAGGGGCTCATTTTCCTGCATCACCTTGGCTAAAAGACTGACATTTAAAAAAACTCGGTTTAAGTCATTAATTAACACATCCTCCATGTAAACAGATGGAGAGAGAGAAATTCCCTGCCCTGTGTGTCATCTGCCACCTTGGAACACCCCTCCACAGGTTCCTGTGGTAGTTCCTCTATTCAATCTTAATTTTTAGTGAATGTAGCTGCTCAGTCCTCAACTTACAAGTCTATCAGGAAGATACATTTCCCCAATATTAAATCATGACACTTAATTACATTAAATTACCAAGAGCACACGCTTGGCCTGAGTGTGGGGAAGAAACACATGACTATAATAAATCATTAATCATATTTTCATGTGATTAAACATGTTGAATATATTCCCTTGTAAAGGCTAATGTCTCTGTTTAAGGCATCAGTTAATTTGTGGCGCTGTGTACACTGACTGGAAAATGTTTCTTCCTCCCTCCCCCCCCCAGTTTTTGATGATGAAGAAGAAAGCAAGTTGTCTTACACAGAGATTTATCAGGAGTACCAAGCTCTGGTGAGCATCATTCACTGTTGGGGGGAAATTTCTAAGAAAGCCGATTTAAAATGTTAAATTAGCGTTTAGCTGAACTTCTCATTGGGTTATCTTTGTTATTTAGAGTTTCCTAACGTTGCTTGTTCTTTAGAAATCCTTTGAGCTCTAGTTGTCCTTTGTGCTTTCATGCTTAGGCACTAGATAGGTAGAAAAGAGACTGTGACACACTCATATCTTACTCTGTGCTACCTTTTTAATTAAAATTAACATATCTACCAAGCTTATAAATACAGTCTTGAAGGCAGTGATGTTATTTTCTGTCAAGTTAAAATGACAAAGAGCAGGAAGTCTGAGAACACACACAACCTGTATTTTGTTCACTGGGGAGTCTGGGAAATCTTCTGACTTAAATTTCAATTGGCAGAAAGAAATGACAGGATTTTTTTTGGAGCTTAAATGCCTATAAACCAATGCATGCAGATTTCCAAAACACTCTTTTTGTGACGAGGCCTGGGAATGCTCGATGTTAAAAAGCATCAGCTGGATAAACAGGAGGCAACATCCATCAGAAAAAATGAGTTGCACTGTTGTAACGATTCTCCCGTGAGTTTAAAAAGCACCCCAGCAGAAAAGAACGTGCAGTGATGACAAAAATTCACGTGGTTCTTAGGGAAAAAGCTGACAGAGTGAGGCTTGTCCTTCCTTACAGGTGGAGAGGTTGCTAGAGGACTATCTCAAAGAGGTTGGAATCAATGAGGAGAAGTTTCAAGAGGCTTTTTCATCCCCACTTGCAAAGACTCACACCTCACAGGTATTTGCCTTCCTCAAGCAAACAGATTAATTCTCAGCTTTATGATTTAGATTTAATTCTTAGCTTTATGTTTGCACTAGTACAGCTGGGGGGAGATGGAGCTTGGAAAAGCTTTCTTGTTAAAACTGTAATTTTCAAATGGCTTACAGCTGCAAACTTACACTGGGAAACCCAGCTTTGTCATAATATTATTGTAGACACGTTCATCTAAAGGCATGACCCACCAAATTCTTTTCCTGACTATTACTGTGTGTCTGGAAAAACAGACAGGTAGGAGAATGAAATATTAGACTCTTCAGAACGTGAGTGTCAGTGTAACTGCAGGCAGCCTGAGCTGGCTGTGGTTCCTGCAGGGTCTGATTTTGGTGTGTTTTCCCCCCCAGGCCATCCTGCAGACAGTGTTGGCAGCAGAGGATTTTAGGCTATTTAAAAAAATGATGGTGCAGAAAAACATTGAAATGCAACTGCAAGCCATTCGGATCATCAAAGAGAGGAATGGTGAGAAGGGGTGAAGGGGGGGTCCCTTCAGGGTTTCAGAGTTCTTTTGGGGGCTGTTTAATCCGGTCAAAATGAGTGTGGAACTGTGGTTCTGTCCCAGCTCAGGTCACTGGGAAACATTCAGTTGGTGTTACTGGGACTGGGATTTCAATCCTCGGTCCTTGGCTTGCATTCCCAGTGCCAGCTGCCTGTGTTTATAAACTTAACACATTTTTCACTTCTGCTTGTCTAAGTCTCTCTGTGAGACTTGACTGAGTTGTTGGTCACAGAATTTTGGTGACAATTGTGGGTGTTGGAGCAATGAGTTCCTCAAACATGCCAGTACAGATAATTTGAATTCTGCTGAACTGCCTGCTGTGCTTACTCTGCACTTCACCCTGAAAAATCCACAGGGAAACCAGGAGCTAAAGCCTTCCCCATGCTAATGCACACCTGAAAAAGGAGATAAGGAAGATAATCCACACCGGGCTTTGCTGCTCTGCTGATGTTCCTGAAAGGATTTTCATCTCCCTGCTCCTTTCTTCCATGTCTGTAGTGTCACCATTTGGGTTTGCCTCCTGTTTCTCAGGGAATCATTTTTAAATGTCCCCTTCCATCTAACAGCTAAATTTGGGAGTGGTTCAGTTGGCCAGCACAGAGCTTGGCTTTACCTGGCATGTCCCAACTTCCATAGGCAGGAACTTTTGCCTTTTTGCTGCCAGGACCTCCAGGATCAGCCAGGACCCCTTTGGAAACAGTTACAGAGAGGAAGGATTAGATGGCTTTGGGTTTGTGGATGTGGTTTTCTTGTGTTTGCTTTTTTTTTGGATATTTTTTTTTTCTTCTCTCTGCCCATTGAAGCACAAAATCATTTCCTTTACAGCAAGACATAATTTTTTTCCCCTATTTTTTTTTTCCAGGTGTGTTGCCCGAGTGTCTGACAGAGGGCTCTGATGTGTTCAGTGAGATCGAGCAAGAAGAAATGAAAATACTCAAGGAGGTTCTCAGGTGAGAAACAAATCCCTCCTGCTTTGGGTGTTTTGTTAAAACAAGAAATAAAGGGCTGTAGGACCTGACTCTTCCAGCCTTTCCCAGGAAACTGCCTTCATCTTCCTGATGGCAGGAGTGTTCTTGTCAAAATCCTGCTGAACAAATTATATCCTCAAAAGCCCCCACTCCCTGTTCACAGGTGTAGAAACAAATCCAGGTTGTATTGGATGGTGCTGCTTTCCCTCTCCATCCTGGAAATACTTCCCTCCCTGTCTTTAAACCAGGGATAGAAAAGCCCTGGGAATTCCTACACAGTTATTTTTGCACAGGGAAAGAGGGCAGAGGGGTTTGTGTGCTTCTCCCAATTATTAACTTCTATTAAGAGTGTGTTTTCACTGAAGTGATGGAAATATTTTGGATACTAATAAATATCCGTATCCAAATAGTCCTGGAATATTTAAGCAGTGCTAAATTTACCTAAAAATCACTAACACCAAACGAGTTCTGAGTATTTACTTGTGCTCTGTGTTACAGAAAATCCAAGGAAGAATATGACCTAGAGCAGGAAAGAAAGAGGACTGAGGAGGTGAGTACCTGACCTTTTTGAGTAAGTTAGGAGTTAGAATTAAGGAATACCCCGACATTCCTGTCCTGGCTGTGACTGGATCACTCCAAGTGTGCCATCAGGACACGTATCCCATGACAGCCACGTTCCCCCCTCAGTCCCTGAATCCTAAAATCCTGGGAGCAGATGTCAACCTTTGAGGCCCAGAGAACGTGGGAATTACTGATATTGTCAGGATCAAAGAGACTTCAAAGCACGAGCTGCCTGGGGATGACAGCATCCCTAATCCTGCAGGAATTACCTCCAGGACCCCTTCAGGGACAGGAGAGTTTTCATGGAGTGCCCACGGCGCTGCCAGAACTAATCCCCAGCACCCAGAAACCCCCTCCAGGAGCCCAGCCCTGGGTGTCCTGCAGAGCCAACCACGTGGAAAAGGGGATTGGAGTCATGGCAATACCCCCCCTGCCCTGGGAAAGCAGGCAGCTTTATCCAGGGATAGCAGTATTCTTCCTAAAAGAGCCAGGTTGTGATAGTGTTCAGTGATGCATTTGTTGTTTGGAGGGTGTTTTAGTACAAAATAATTCCATATTCTAGTGACTGCTGAGGGGCTCTGGTGTGGATTAGATGGTTGATGAACAGTGTAGACGTTTTCTGGGCAAATCCCAGCTGGCTTAACTGCTCCAAGAGGTGGACTGGGGTGTTTGTAAGGTAAAAGAACACAGCTTTACCTGGAAGTTCTTCTGGGAGCTTTCCTAGTGTGGCCAGCTGGATGCCTGCAGTGCCTACAGCCAGGGGCTGTAACACCTGGTTTGGTTTCCTTGATTTCTGATTTCAGGCACAAGCTAAACTCAGAGCACCAGATGCCACCCACAGTTCTCCAGGGAATTCGAGAGGAGCTGTCAAAGTAAAGGAGTCCACAGAGGGAGCTGAGGGTGCTGCAGAAACTGCCAGATGTCCCCCAGGTAATTTTAGGGGGTGTGAGGGGGGTGTGCAATGCTGAGTGTGCAATATGAGCTGGGGTTTAAATTATACAAGAGCCCACTCGTGCCAAGATTTTCAGGCTGTGAGTAAAACACCCCAGCTCTGAGCAGGGTGTTGGCACAAAGTGCCCTGCAGGAATCCCTCCCAACCCAGGGCCTTTAAGTATTCCAAGATGTTCCAAGTCTTCTCCAAGGAGGAGAAATAGAGGAGTCCAACTGACTGTGCTTGTGCCACCATAAGAACAGCAAGTTCCCTGCAAGCAACTCTGAATCATCCACTCAAAAAGCTCCGCCCTCTCTCCCTTTATACACCGAATTTACACATTGAATTTACAATTGCACACCAGTTCTTGACAGCAAATATTTCTGAAGGAACCAGCCTTCAGCTGTTAAGGGTCACTCACAGCCCACCAAACTGAATCCTTCTGCCTTTGGCTCAGATTTTAGTTACTCATTTTAATCTTTTCACCGTTACTTTTATGGGTTTGGGTGGGACTGTGACACTTTCCAGCTTAAAGCTGTAATGGATAGACTCACACTGAATGAACAAACTGGTATTTCCCCACCTGTTTTCTTGCACACATATGAACACCTTCAGGCAGACAGGACAGCACAGTCACAGGGCTCTTCATTAATAATAAAAGAATAGCAGGAGCAGCACCTCACCTCACCTGGGAGGAGTTCTGGCTGAGAGGAGTCTCAGGAAAGTTCTGGAACACCCCCTGCTCCCCTGTCTGGTGACTGGAGAGGCTTTGGCTCCCACCTCAGGAAAAAAGGGGAGAAATGTGCCTTTTTTTTTAAAGTTTTCCATTTCATGAGAAGACACATCTGGATAGTGGAAGAAACACTGATTTGTTGTTTTTGTCTCATTTCTCTTCTTTCCAATGTCTCTGTAAAATTCCTTAGAGGGATCTCATAAATCTCCGAAGGAAGACCTAAAACCAGCCTGCCCAGTACAAAAAGGAACTGAAAACTTACCTCAGCCCTCCTGTGCCAAGGGGAAGGAAGACACTAAGAAGAGGCCTGGGAAACACTCAGAGAGCACAGCACAGAAAGCTGGGGGAAAAGGGCCTGTAAGTCTAAACCAAACAAGAACAAACCCCAAACGTGGAACTGCAGGGCCAAGAGCAGGATTGCACGTGGAATATACACTTAAGACAGTGTTGTTTCTGTTCTTGGAATCAGGGTGCTTTGGGTTAGTTTAATTTTCTTCTAAAACCAGCGTGCAAACACTTTTGATGATATTCCCAGGTTAATTAGCAGAGTTCAGCTCGTGATTCTGCTTTCAGAGCAGGATTCAGCCTCAGTGCCATGATAATTTCTTAGGAGACAGCTCTGGCTTGAACACTCAGCTCGGGTTTGTTCTCAGCTGACAGTTTTGGAGGCAGATAGGGAGTAAGTGCTTTTCTTGCACAGGGCATTGATACCAAAATTTAATTTCAACACGTGGTTTAAATCTTTCCTCCCCCCAGAGTTTATCAGAAACCGAACAACAGGAGCTGAAGCAACGTGAGGAATATCTGAAGAAAAAAAGAGACCTGCTGCTGGCCACGAAGAAAGAGTCCAAAACCAGGGCACCAACCCCCCCAACCACAGACCAGAAGGAGGAGGAGACACCCAGACAGGTGAAGCACTCCCACACTTCAGTCACAAACCCCCAGGACAGGTGTTGATGCTGCTGCTGGACAGTGGGGCAGGGTCAAAAACAGCAGGTGGGGGAAGGAGAGAGGAAATATTTCCAGTATTTTCACTGGGTTTGCAGAAGCTTTGGGCTGGGAGTTTCAGTGATCAGTTGGCACTGGTTTGGCTTCAGGACCACCAAACCCTGGTGATTCATCTCAGTTTATGAGTGGATAAAATGCCTGTTTGCTCTTAGTCTGTGTCCTGGTTGGGCTCCCCCAACCCTCAGGGATGTTTTTGCTGATGAAATGGCAAAGGCAGGGCGGTGTCAGGAGCCCCTTTCCCCCTCTGCTCCCTGTTCCCTGCCAGGGAAGCTGCTCATGGCCTGTCCTTTTCCCTTTGTTTAGGAAGTGTCAGAAGAGAAGCAGAGGTTGCTCCAGAAGAGGAAGATGCTGGCAGAGAAACTAAAAGAAGAGGTTATTAATAAGCGATAGCTTCAAGAGCTCCCTGCAGGCCCCAGGAACAGAAGGGTGTTCTTAGAACAAGTTCTGTCATCACTGAGTGAGGGGGTTTGGTTTCCAGTCTCACCCTTTAGCTTTATAGAACTCTCAGACAAGCAGCTCCGTCCTTGGTAAATCAGTATTTCGGTTACACTGACACACAGCACGAGCTCTCCTTTTCCAAGCGCTGGGAATTCCCTGGCTGTGCAGCAGGGAGGCCCTGGGACACCCTGCAGTGCCCAGGCCTGGCTCGGCCTCTGCAGAGCCTGGAGAAGGGAAGCAGAGATGGAGAGCAGGTGAAGTCATTCCTATGGCAACAAGTCAGAGCTAGACATTGTAACTTTGGCATTTTTAACAGTACAGGACTTGGTCCCTTTATTAGCCCGTTATAAAACCACTCTTTGGCAGCTGTGCAACGTAATAAAGTCCAATTCCCCAAGGAAGTGCAACCTTGGCCACCTCATTTTTAAGAAAGGTAGTGCAGCTTAGGGGTAGAACTCCAGCTCACAGCCTTTTACAGACTGCTGGGGCACTTTGCCAGCCCCAGGGCCCAAGTTTGCTACAAACACAACTTAAATTAAAGGAATTGCTTCAGTTGCAAAGTCGGGGCTGTCCCCAGCAACTCCCTTCAAGAGTAGGAGAAATCTTTTTAAATCCTTTACTGGTTTGGCCTTGAGACACTGGAAGTGGGGGGAAGAGACCCCCCTTTGCCCAGGGCATCACACCCCTGACTGCCCCAGCAACCCACAGGAAAAGAGACAAACTCACCTGGTCAGGTTCCACGTAATTTTTATTAAAATAGCATTTATAACTGGTACAGTTGGCAGGTGCTCTGTTCTCCTCCAGAAAGGGGGGTAGTGGGAGGGCCCCAGGCAGGGGAACACACGGGGCTGGGGGAACCAGCACTGAGGGGTGACAGCCCCAGGCAAAGCCACCACAGAGTGCCGGGTGTCACCTCCTGGGACTGCAGGGTGGCTTCAGTGGGACGGCTCATGCCATTTGGATCCTGGAAAAACTCGTGACATCCTTGGTGTTGCTGTAAAAAAACCTCCTGCGGGTCTGTTTGTGAAGCTCCTGCCGGCACTTCAGCGAGGCCTTGGGGGTGAGAGCAGGGTCAGGGCTGAGCTGGGGTGGCTGTTCCAGAGGCTCAGGACACGCAGGTCACTCCAGGGGTGCAGAAGGTGAAGGCACATCCAGTGCAGCTGCTGCTCCGTGGCCGGGCAGTTGCTGAGGAAGTTCCTCTTCCCTGGGGAAGCAAAGCCAGAGGCAGGTGGGGATGGTGAGGCTGCAGCTCCACTTTCCCATCAAATGCTTCCTCAGAGCCGGAGCTGCTCCATCCCACGGGTGGAAACAAGGAGTCCCAGCTGGGGGGCTGGAGCCCTCAGGGGCAGCACCACTGGCCTCAGGTCCATCCAGGAGCTCACACCTTCCCACAGGGATCCCAGCTAGTGCTGGACAGTTACTGTTGGAACTGCAAGGACAACTCATCTCAAACAGTGCCCTAAAACGGCCACAGTTCACTCACCCCGTGTAACAAACCAAACAAAAGCGGTAATTATGGAATTACAGGGTCACATTTTAATTCCTGAATTTTACAGTTCAGCATTAATATCACCACATGTATACAAATGGTGTAAAACAAGTACAGTGGTATCTTTAATACAAAATAAACTTCTGTTTTATGGAAAAAAACTATACTTCATATCTACACAGACAGCCCATCTTTTTCCAAACAAGAGCTAAAATTAAAACTACCAAAAAAAAAATAATCTCCAAAACAGAGAAACTGCTTCAGTTTAAACTATTCCAGGAGAAATGGACCCATAACACGTATTACAAGAGTGACCTATGTGGTGGATTGCAGCTGGTTCCATCCTTTAACACTTGGGAAATTTCCTCTCGCTCTGCCATGATCTCGGATCACAACGGGCAAACTAACATTAAAATATTTACAGTTCACGTGCTGCTCTGCGAAATAAAACCCGGACTGTTTGCCTCCCCCAACTGCCCTCTCCCTGTCACCTACGTGGAATGTGCTTTTGTTTGTTAAAAAAGCAGCTTCTGTCCCACCCAGGTTCAGGTGCTGCTTGTTGATCCCGCCCCAGATCCCGGTGTTCCCTTGGCAATAATTCCAGCTTGGTCCATCCACGCTGACCTGGGTGTTGACGTGCTGCTCTAATTCCTCCCGAGGAGAAGCCTGTTAGTGTTTCTCATTCCCACCTCGATCCTGCAACGTGAACTCACACACAGGGGCTGCTCCAGCTGAGGCAGCTCTTGGAGCGACAGGGAGCGCGGCTGGAATTCGGGATCTCGCCCACCTCGACGCCAGCAGTTCTGGGCTGTGCCATGGACAGCACCAAGCAGCTCCTGCAGACACTGGGGAAGCTTTTGCTCCTTGGCATTGATATTACTGACACTATCTAACCCAAAAAACCAAGGCAAACCTCCCATTCTGGATCCAGCTTCGTTCTCTCCTCTGGGGAAACAGAGCTCAAAGCTCCCCTGAACTGTTTGACCAACTCCACATGCACTGGAACTGCAGCCTCCCTCCCTCCAACCATGAGAAATGTCATTTAGTTGGTAAGAAATGGTCCCAAAACATGGATTGTTCTTATGCAAACAGAGTTAGTTTTCCCTTAAAATTGTTTTTAAAAGAGGCATTGCTAAAAGAACACAACTGACAGCACCATTACAAAATTAAGATTACTGGGTTCAAAATTTAAGCTCGACTTTTATTTTTTTTTTCCTAGTTCTGTTAAACACTGGGGAAACCCTGCAATATATTTTAAAAAAAGTATTACCATACCTTTCCCTCCCCCTGCCCTCCCGACACCTGAGACTTTCCTTGCTGAGAAGCCATCATCCAGGTTCTGAGAATACTAACCCACTTTTTTTTTTTTCATTTTTCATTTTTTTGACAGCCTGAATGGCAGACTCCTTACTCTCTAGAAAGACATTAAGTTCCTTGGAAGCTTTGTGTTTACAGAACTAACCCTTTCTAGCTGATACACCGAGTTTCTTTTGCTACTCCTCGTATTATCTTATTTACTCATGGGAGAAAGCTTTCTGAATCAGACTCTTTTTAGCTCTTGAAACAGTTGCAGCATTTGAAACCCCGTAGGAAAAGTTCTTATTCCAAAGTTTTGGTTTCTTTTATGAACCCAGACGAGGTCTTTTCCTTGGAGATGTCTCCTCCTCTTCATCATCATCTTCATCATCAGGATAATCCACTAGGCCAACTAGACTTCCCTGCCAAGTAGAGAAAGGGAAAAAGGAAGTTCTCACCTTGAAAAAACCCCAAGGAATGTGCAATTTTAGGACAAGCCCCAGCCCATCTGCCAGGACACCACAGGCTGCAGCAGCAGGTTTTCTGGTGATGCCTTTGGCATTCCAAGACCCATTTGTCTGGAGAGTGGTCCTGAAGCTGCAAAAACACTGGAGCCCCCTCACTCCTCTGGGTCTGGCCTCACAATCGTATGGAAGTCCCTTCTGAAGCTCCCTGCTGGATGGGCACAAACCTGTGCACCCCAAGATCCCTCTGGCTGCTCAGCCTTGGGGGGGGCAATCAAATTCCTGCCCCACTTTTCCATAGGTGCTCAGGGGCCGGAGATTCCAACAGTGCAGGGCTGTGCCAGGCACCACAGAGGGGCCATCACCGCCCTCGTCTGCTCAAAACCACCCGGGATCTGCCTGGACAGGGAGCACTAACAGAGTTCCCAAAACCCTCAATCTCCCCTGTACATGGAGCAGTGACCGGGCAGGGAACAAGCTGAGGAGTGGCAGCAGTGAAGCCGTGAGGAAAACACGGAACGAGACCGCGGCACCGGACACCAAGGGGCTCCAGTCCCGCCCAGCCCTTCCCTAAACCCTCCCCACCCGCTCAGGGTTTTGCTGAGCCCCCCGTGCCAGCCCCTGTCCCACCTTGGGGGCCGTCACCGCCGGGGCCAGGGCCGTGCTCTTGGAGGAGGAGCCGTTGGAGCTCGCCGGGGACGTCTGAGCTGCCACCGATTTACTGTTGGCACCGTTGGCACCGTTGGCTGCGCTGGCTGAGTGGGAAAAAGTGAATTTGAATCCCCCAGCTGAAGTCCTTTTTGGAAGATTCTCTTTGTCTTCGCTCTCCTTAGCTGAGGGACAAACATTGCCACACTTAGGAACAGCTGCACACCAGGAGCACCATCTGCATCACAGCACGAGCGCGGGGCGAGAGCCGACGGGTTTTTTGTTGTCCTTTGTCTCCAAATGGACAGTTCCCCATCCGGCCTCACCCAGGGCCCTCAGCAGCAAACTGAGCAGGGCCCACACGCTGAGGGCCAGGGCTCACTCAGAGCACACAAGCACAGTCTTGCCTTTGAGTGCCATTTACACTAAACGCGTGCCCAGAGCAGTTTAACTCGTTATTTTAACCCTGAACTGGCTTGCAAAGACACGCTCAGATCTCCTGCCTGACTGACACAGAACACCCTCAGTGCTGCTCGTGGTGCAGAGCACAATCCATGGGTCTGCCACAGAGCCCTTCCAGTGCCACCAAGCTCAAGCAGAGTAAGTACCTTTTTTAGTCTCCATAAATTTTTCATAGCTATCTGGGAAATCATCCTCCTGCTTTGACTTCTCGACTGGAGGGACAACAGCTTCTCCTTCTTCCTCCTCATCCTCATTGAACCACATCTCCTCATCCTCCTCCAAGGCTCGGGCGTCCCTGCGGAACCTGTTGCTGCGCAGGATGGAGGGGACGCTGCAAGAGACAGCACAGGGGTTCCAGCTCTGCTGCCGGGGCACACTGGGGAGCAGCAGCGGCTCCCAGACTCTCAGGGGGAGTTTGGCCCTCCATTCCCAGCTGTACCCCCAGCCCAGCTGGCAGTGACGTGCCAGCTCCCCGGGACAGACCCAGAGCACACAAAGCAGGGCCCACCTGTTCAGCTTCTGGGTCTGTCGGTCTTTTTCTTGCTCGTACTTTGTCTTCAGTCCCTTGAATGTCTGAACATATTCAATAGATTCAAGTGCATTATAGAAGTTTTCAACTATATGTGCAATAAGGGACTTAATGTCTTCCTGCAGGAGAACAAGACAGGGTTTCAGTCTCACGTGGTCACAGGCAGAAGCTCAAAGTTTTTGAGTTTAGTCTGGAAAGGAACTGATTCCTTGCCTAGAACCAAAATATTATTGTACAATATTGTACAAACGTGAAGTATTCAGATTTATCTTCAATAAAAGAGCTAAGGTCCAGAAATAATTACTGAATTTCCCACAGACACAGACAATACTCAGCAGTGTCCCAGTGCAATCTGTGATGCTCTCATGAACCAGGATGTTCTATCTGCGATAGCTGTGCCCTGCTCTCCCTGCAGCTTCCAGTTCTCCCAGTACTCAGTAACTACAGCAGCTCCCATGGGACAAGGCACCTCTTGGTCAGTGTCCCTCTAACAAGTCTGTCACCACATCAAACCCTAACATTCCAAATTTTCTTCTTGCTGGAAAAGACAGCAGCTACAATATCCTGTGAGTAAAAACTGCCCTTCACTTTCCCAGGGCACAGAGATTCCCTGGAAAGCCTCCCACACGTCGAGGCTCTCCCAGCCAGTGGCTCAGGAGCTGCTCCAAGTCCTTGTTTCCCAAGGAGCTGGGTGCTCCTGCCTGTCCTGCCCACACACACAGATTCAAAGCTGCCACTGGCCAGGGAAACACTTGTGTAGGATTTAAAGGACAATGTTCGTAGCCAAATTAGTCTCACTGAGACCCACTAATACCCAGATTTAGTGCCATACAACACATTTCCCTTCATTCCTCAGTGCCAGGTTTGGTCCAGAAGCACCACAAGGAAGCCCTGAGCGGGACTGAGCCCCAGGACAGCTTGACACCAGCAGGGCCCACAAGCCCTCCGCGGTGGGACAGTCACGAACAGCGGGCACGTTACGGGGTCACTTGACTCGGATGTTTATGTGCAGGAGGGATTTTAGGTGGAAGGGAAGGGTTGCCACGTCCCAAGGGGTCAGAGCTGAGCAGGACTCACCACCCGGATGAACTCGAAGAGCTCGATGACGGCCGAGTTGAGCAGGTTGTAGCGGGTGCCGTTGTCCAGCAGCGCGTTGATCACTGGCTCAAAGAGGTTTCCCTTGGTGATGTAACGGTTGTAGAACTCATCCTTCAGCCCAATTATCCTCCTCATGAAGCGAAGAGCACCTGCACGAGCAAAGCAATTCCAGGGTTCACTAACCCTGTGGCTGGTGCTGCCCTGAGGAAGGTGCACCCCAAACCCAGAGCACCCTGGGCAAGTGCAGCAGCAGCAGGTGCTGACAGGTCACCTTTCCTTTTCCTTCTCTCACTTTCCTGGGTGTTTGAAAGCCATCAGGGACCACTGATCTCTGTCTAAAGTCCAGCAGCAATTATTCAACAGGAGTCAGTAGTAAACAGGGAATTACCAGGCATTTTAAGTGCCCACTGGCACTGGAACAGCTTCCCCAAGTGCACACAGAGCTTGAAGGAGGAAATCAACAGCTCCATACTCACACAAGGCCAGGAAGGTGTGTTTGGAATTCATCAAGACCAGGACTCTTCTCAGCAAATCTTTGTTCATGATGTAGTTCTTGATGTGATATGTGTGATGCTCCACACAAAAAGTAAGCAGCTCCAGAATTAAGGCAAGTAGTTGTGCCGTTTGGTAATTATCTGTGAGAGAAACGAACACTTAAATGATACCAAAATAAACAATGTGCAGTCATGCACCAAATCCTCACCAGGCTCAGCTGATATTGCAGCTCCTGACACAGTTTTTAATGGATTTTGGTTTTACTGCATTGCTTCCAGTTGTCTCAAGTGAAGCAAAGCACCCACATCTATTTCAGTAAAATGCATTACAAGAAATAAACCTCACTTTCTCTTTTAATAAAATACCATACACAGCAAACTTCCAAAAGGTAACTTCCAAAACTCAAAGTCAATTAAAACTTACCAGGACAAATTGTATTACTCTTAGTGGATCCAACTACTGCATCTGACCGAGAGAAAACAGAAACAAACATCAGGAAAAGGTTTTCAAAGCGCTGTCAGTATTTCAAAGATGGGGATAAACAATCAGTTCTACAGATGGTCAGACTTTTCACCAGATCAAAAGTTCCTGGAAGCTATGCAGAAATCAACGTGCAACAAGGATGCAGCCAGGGGAGATTTCATTTACATTAAATAATATTTAATTTAAATTACAAAGTTTCCAACCCCAACGAGGTGAAAGTATGGAACCTGATACTTACAATATTATCCCTACATAGAATAAAGTGCCTGGTCTAAATTTTTCAAATAATACACTCAGCACTACAACAGATGTTTTCACCAGGTTTATTTTTGTATAAAATGCCAAAACATTTTTTTTTTTTTTTTTACTTAATAAGAGAAGATGGGGAAGATGAAACAGATGTTTTCACCAAATGCATATTGCTTTGATTTAATCTCTTGAAAGAGTGTTCATGAAGTCCAAGGCAAGAGGCTTCACAAAGTCAGCATCAAGACATGTTAAATTCCTGTTTGTAAAGCACTAGAGGCAAACTAATGAGTGTTATTTGCTTGCAACAAACAAAAGATTTCCAATTCTTTTACTGGCACCAGGAAAAGTTCAAGAAGAAACAAGGTGAGGGAGTTCCAAGCTGCCCTGCTTTGAGTCACGAAACCGCCGAGGGCTCTCACAGCAGTTCTGTAAACTTTTGCACAAAAGCCCCTGTGACCTACAGACACCTCCTGCTTTACAGCAAATAGTTTTAAGAATTGTACTGGTGAAATCAGAGTGCTGTTAACAGCAGAATATTAGCATGATTAGCAGCAGGGCAGTACCTTTCTCCCCCTTCTCCTGGGCCGTGTTGGCCAGCAGCGGCGCCGTCAGCACGTGCATGCAATGGTTGTAGAAGAAGTTGAGAAACTCGCTTTTCTCTGTTTTCTGAAAGAAAAATCACCTTATTAAACACTGGCATGTGGGCATCAGCTCTTAAAAAAGAAAGAACAGTAACAAGGGAGACAGCCCACAAAGAATTCCACTGACTCCTCCAGGTCTGCCTGGATGTTATCAGTCAGGCCTGCAGATTTGTCTTCGCTCAAGGAAGACTCTTTATTTCATTTTGGGATACCTAACCAAGGTAACTGTCACCAAAAAATCCCCACCATGCAAAAGATATGCTGGAAATACATCAATAACTCGGAATGCTTGACAAAACTTGTTTAATGAATACCTGTACAATGCCCCAAAAACATATGTTTTATTATCAAAAGCTGACGGAAGCTGCAGCTTGTTATTTAGCTTGTTAAAATTCACTGTCAGCCCAGACACAGAGAGTACAGGTTTTTAACTCTGCCCAGGCAGCAGAGTTGTGTTTGCTCACATTGGCTGTGGCCAGCATGTTCTCGGGGTCGATGAGGGTCCTCAGCAGCCCCATGAGCTGCACAGCTCCCCCCAGCTCCGGGTCAGTGTCACAGATCATCTGCTCGATGACCACGTTGATGAGGAGGATGTCCTGCACAGAAACCCCAGACAAACACGGTCACACACACAGCCAAGGGTGGAAAGCAATTCCCCTAATTTCTGTCGGTTTTTAGAAGACAAATTCAAGTGAAACTGAGGCATGGAGATACACTGGGATACAGGAATTCTGTCAAGCACAACCCTCCACACCCACAATCCTTGTCAGTCACACTGTGAACTCAGGGAACACCAACACGCTCAGAAATGTCTGTATTTTAAATCTACTTTGTCCTGTGTTTCTAATATCGACATTTTTGGGTCAAACCTCTCCAGAATTTGGGATATGCTTGTTTTTTCCCCTGTTTGCTCTAAAACTGGTATATTCAAACTCTGAACCACTTTCACTTACATCATCACTCTGCTGGGCCTCTTGCATTACAAATTCTCGGACCATGGATGGGCTAAATTCTACCAGATAAGAAAATATATCTGTAGCAGCAGATCTAACTTGCAGATCATCCATTCCCTAATAAAAAAAAATTAATAAGTTAGAACAAATTCAGATTGGTATTTATTATCAAGTAAAGCTGCAAAGGACAGGGATTGGAAAGTTTTGAGAACGTTTCACTGCAGAAGTTTCTCTGAGAAACACAGTAAGAGGGTTGCAGAAAAACAACAATAAACCAGCAAGATGAACTGCAATGGTCAGGCAGCAACAGCTGCTGCAACCAAAAGAGTGAAAAAAAATTATGTTTTCCCACTGCTGATTAGGAAAGATTAATCTGCTAATGACAGGATTACGTGATCTTTCGGGCAGGGACCAGCTCACAGTTCAAGATTATCTAAAAATACTTCTTTGGCCCTGTCCCAACAACAACCACAACAACAACAATTGAGCTGCCACAGAAAAAGAAGAGCCTCTTTCAATCTTTACAGCTCCCTGGCACAAGGACTGCACTGATCAGACTTCTCTGCCACGCAGAGTAACAATGGCCAGAGCACCCAGGTCAGAGCCTGGGGGCAGCCTTTGGATTCTGAATGTCCCTGTCACCTTCCAGCCTCAGCAGGGCAGAGCTGGCCCAGCAGACTGACACAGGGGTGCTCAGCACAGCCCAGACCTGCTGCAGTGGCTGGGGCCTTCTCTATTTTATTGCAATCAGCCCCAGGCATTCACTTACCATGACAATTTCAAGAGCTGGAAGAATTCCCAACTTGGCCAAAGTTTTGAAAAACGCGTCTCTGTTCTGAGGTTGTAACGTCTGAGAGAAGGCGCAGAACTCCTTGAAAAAGTTCACCTGTTGCACAGGGAAAATGTAATTACAGGTGCATGAGTCTGACAACCCTCTGGAAGGAGGAAAGAGTTCCCATTTGTAGCAGAGTGTGCGCGCTGGGTGATTCCACAGAAACCAGCAGAGCAGTGTCACTGTTTCTGTTTCCTGGCTGCAATTTAAGGGCTGAGGGACCCCCCGAGCTCAGACTCACCAGTTCACACCGTTTGTCATCATCTGTAGCTTCATCTGTTAATTGTGCAAAAACTTCAGACAGAAACTTCTCGTCTTCCTGTGGAACACACAAAAGGAACACAGCTTAGAGAGCCCCTGAAAGAAGGCAAAGCTTCCACTTTTGTAGGATCCCACAGCACAGCAAGGCCAGCACACTTCCAGCAGGATGATTCCCAGTGGGTTTTGGACTATTACTGGCTTTTCATATTCACACCCTCCACTACCAATAGATATTTGATACATACAGGACAACACCTCACTTCTTGTAAAGCATTTCAGTCACCCCATTGCTTAGGACTCCAGAGGTACCAAAAACCCAGGGTGGCATCACCATCATCTCTCCAGTGTTTGGGCACTTCCTGCCCTCTCTGTCCTGTGATTTCTCTGCACTCCTTCACATGGAGAATCGTGTTGGCATCCTCTCAAATCAAATGTCTTGTTATCTTTTAAAGACAATATAAATCTGAAAGCAAACAGTAACACACTACAGCATTACAAAATTATGCACTGACCCAACTCTGTGCACTTCTGCATTGAAGAAGCAGGAGCAGAACAGCAGCACTATAACAAACATACACCAAGCTGGCACTGCAGGACATGGAGGGTGCTTACCTCTCTATTTGGCCTTGTGCTGCCACTAAAATCTGTGCTTTATTAGGCTGACTTAATACACAATTGTTACAGCCACAGCAGTGCAGCCAAAGGCTCATGATTTTTTTTTAAGATGTGTGGAAAGAAGTGCTTTACAAACACAGGATACCTGGACCCAACATCCCAGAGAGCACAACGTACACAGACTGAGTGGTTTATTTTAAGCTTTGCTGGCTTGAACAGCTTCATTAAGCCTGTCAAAAACCAAACCCACACCATACCAACAGCAGGTATGCCAGAAAGTCCCCACTCTACAGAGATCTCCTGCTTTCCCAAGGCTGCTCCAGAGTAATCCCGATGTCCCAGGGCCCGGGCTGGCTCCGGGTTTGTCTCCCTCCCATCCCCAGCAGCACTGGGATCCAGTGCTCTGTGGCACGTAGGAAGGAGCTTTGCTGTGGCCAACACAATCTGCTCCTCCCATGAGCTGCCCTCAGCCAGGGAGCTTTGCCAGGGGATTTGGGGTAACAGGAGTCCAAGGCGCTCACCAAACCCAAAGGAGCTTTAGAGCTCTTGTGCCACAACGAGGAGCTGACTGACACCAGAGGGCTGGGACAGCAGCCCTGAGCTCCACACCACCAGGGAATTCCCCTCAGTTACAGCTCTTCCATGTCTGCTTTCTTCCCAGTTGTAATTCTCGAGGATCAACATAATTTGTAAATCATCACCCATGTCTCCTTTACAAGCTTTCAAACAAGCAGGCAAACCTACGTGCCACATATTCTGATGGCAAAGAGCAGGGACAGGGCCAGCAAAGAACTGTCAGAGGGTTTCAGAGCCTCCTGCAAAGAGCACTAGAGGGAACAGCAAACCACAGCACAATTAAATATCCAGCACTGTAAGGCCTCAATGAAAAATAAATTTACAGGACTTAAACATCTCTAAATGGAAAGGACTGTGGCCTCAGGAGAACAATGCTGAATTTATTTTTAGTTTTAGAAAACAGATGCAAAAGAATTTAAAGGGAAATCTGTATTTAACACAAAGTCGTTAATTTTGCAAGGGGGATTTAATTTTTAGTTTCTTTCTGCTATTCAGCCACAAAGAAGAAAGTAGAAAGAAGCCAAAAAGCTTACTCATGCAATTCTGTGCAATTATTCACTTTGGACTTTTTTTCCAGTCCTCTGTTGAACTCTTTACCATATTCCACCCATATTTGCACTCATTACCATACTCCATATGGATGTTATTTCTCCAGAGCCCCTCTCTTCCCACAGTTTTTACTCTTCTCCATTCTCCCTGTTCCACAGAGGCTCTCCACACCCAGCCCAGGAGCTCTGTCATCTGTTCCACACAAATGTGCCCTCCTTGGACATGGATCCAAACCAGAATAAAGCCCCTTTGGTACCCTTTAGTTCACACTGGAAACACCCAAATGCCCCGAAGTTCACACACAGCTCTTCACTGAGGCTCCTTCCACGCTCCAGCTCCGCTGGCACACCCATGCAGGACAGTTTTTGGCAGTGACATCTTGGCTATTTGTTAATTATTACTTCTGGGTATCAGGATGAAAAAACCCCAGCAACTAATCCCTTGATTTTTATGGCAACATGAACATTTGAAATCAGCACCATGAAGTAACAGCAGTGTAACAGGAATGGTTCTGAACGTGCTCTTTGGAATCACAGATCCACAGAGTTTGTTACAAGCACAGCACAAATGCCCCTCATACAGAACACTGATATTTGTTCCCTAAATACCTCTATGAAACCAGCTCAAAAGGTCTCTGTGGCTTGGGAATCAAGGAGAAAAATCTTTCACTGTTTACAACCTGTTAAAAAAATTATTAAATTTACTCACCTGAAATCTACCTTTTCAAGATACAAAAGCAAAGGCATCCAAAAGAAAGGGACACCGTGCAAATGGAAGTGTGTGTGATTCACTGTAATCCACTGGAAACTACAGCTACAGGTATCCACACATCATCCATCCAGAGCATACTGAAAACCACTTACCTGCAACATACTGACAATCTCAACTTTGTTGAAGAAAATAAAGGAAGTGAGGGTAGAAAGAAAATTCTCTTCAAAAACGGATGGTGTCGGCAAGATGATGTCCTGAATATACTGTACCCTGTAAGTCTGGTGGATTTTTTGCCTGAGTTCAGAGTCTGTGATAGGAATAACCTCCTTAAATTTTGCCGTTTTGGTCAAGAACTCCCTGTGCCGCTTGGGCTGAGCCAAAGAAGGGTCATACTCCAGGCATCCCACCACATCCATGATGCACTCGTCAGAGAACATCACCTCGAACAGAGTCGCTTTGTTGAGGAACAAAATGCCCCGGATGATCTCGTACAAGTGGTGCAAGCCCTCCGTGTTCTCCAGGTTCTCGCACACTTGGAAGAGCTGCAGCAGTTTTTTGATGTAGCCTTCGTTCTCCAGGGCCAGGGCCAGCTTCTCCCTGCGGATGGGCGAGGACAGGACAGAGGTAACGAGGTCGGCGATCTCTTCAAGTTTGTTGAGTTCACAAGTGGGAAGGTCAATCAAGGGACTGGTTTCAGGCATCTCCTCTATGTGCTCCTCTTCCGACTCGATAAGGTCCTGTGTGACTTCCACCGAGGGATCCTTGCCCTGAACCTGAGGAGAGAGCGCACACAGTTACTGCCTCGTCCCAAATCACACACCAAAATAATCAATAACTGACATAACAGCACATCTCCACTGCCTGCTTTGTCCCAGGGAAGGTTATGGTAATTCCCATGGGAAAGCTGGGGGTTTTTAGCCCCTTTGTTGTTTTTTTTTTTTGAGTCTTTGGTCTGACAGTTTGGGCTCTGCCACCTCTTTGTCTGTCCCAGGCACATCCAGCTCCTTATTCCTCGCAGCACGTCTGCAGTTCCCCTGCACTCCAATAACCTGCCTCCTGGGGCCAACTGGGACAAGGACAATCAAAACCTGGAGCTCTGGCAGCCCCTTTTTAATAAAAGCAATCCCACAAACCTCCCCAAAACAACCAGCACCTGGGTGTCACCATTACATCGATTTTTCACAAGCCTGACACTCCATCACTAAAGCCACAACTGGTGCTCTCAGTGTAGATCTTACACAGAAAAGCCACAAAAAATAACAAAGAGTATTTGCTTATTTTACAAGGAGGTTTAAAAAGGATGCATCAAAAGTCACAGAAGACAATAAAACACCTGGAAGAAACAAAATATGTAAGGTGAACTGTACCTGGCAGATTTTTTCCCAAATCTCATCACAGCCAGCTTTTTCTTGAAAACTCAGTGCTAAATCATAGTTCTCTGCTTCTGACCAAACAATCAGGGTGTCCTGTTTAAGATAAAAACAAGAAAATAATTATTCCTGCAACAGGTCTGCATTGCATATTAATCTCTAATCCCTTACAGCCAATGTCTACAGAAGAAAGTTTTAATTAAGTTACATTTGTCAATAAAAGAACATATGACACTAAAATACTAAATCACCTGTTCTGTCACAAGGAACATCAACTTAAACCTGCAGTAGAACAATTTAAGTATTTTCATATTTAGTAAAGCTGAAACAAACCCCTAAGATTTCAGTTTCCTCCTCAGAAGGGGTTTCAGACAGCCCCAGCACTGACAGGAATAATGCCTGATGTTCACATAATCTGTTCTGAATTAAAAGACACACAGCCTGAATAATACAAACCTCCTAAGTTCTCACTAAAGTTACCAGCATCTTGCCAGCTGCTGCCATTTGAGCAAGGCTTTTTTTTCCTCTGTCACTATTGTCTCCACCAATTCCATCCCTGCACTTGTACAGAAGCTCTGGAAGTTTCGCTGGAATTTCTGAATAGACTAAAAGGTTTTCGTAAGGGGTTTTATTGGGACAGTTGCTGCTGTACTATGAGGAGGGTAGGTCTGTACCCTGACATTCAAATACAGAGTTGTTGTGGTTTAACCCCAGATGACAACTAAGGACCAGCCAGCTGCTCCCTCACTTCCCCCAAACCAGTGGGATGGGAAGGAGAGATGGAAAAGGTGAAACCCACAGGTTGACATACTGTTTAATCCAGGTAATAAAGGAAAATATAATTAATAATTATAATAACAGCAGCAACCAAAAGGAAGCTAAAGAGCAGAATAAACCCCAAGACAGACAAGTGGTGCACAACACAGTTGCTCAGCCCCCTGACTGATGTCCCCGAGCAGGGATCGGCCCCTCCCAGCCAACCCCCCCAGTTTATCCACTGCCCATGGTGTCCAATTGTTTGGAATATCCCCTCGGCCACTTCAGCTGCCCTGGCCATGCTCCCTCCCAGCTCCTTGTGCAGCTCCTCACCTGCAGGGCATGGGAACTCCACAGTCCTTGATTTAGGGAAAGCATCGCTCAGCAACAACCAAAACACCCTGTGTTATCAGTGCTGTTCTCACCCTAAACCCAAACCACAGCATCCACTAGAGGAAGAAATTTATCCCAGCTGAAACCAGGGCAGCAGTTCACCACCCTGCAGCAAACCCACCCCAGGTAAGTGTCCAAACTGAAGAGCTCTCTGCTAACTCTGCACTGCAGTTGATGGGCTTCAGCAAAACAGTTCAACCTGCAACCACGTTTGTTGACTTCCTGACCCGTTACCGCAGCTTAAAGACCAAAGTGGTTTTTAAATACCAGCCAGCCCTTGCTTAATGGTCAGTGAGGTAACTCACTTCCCACACTTACAATGTTCAATATTCACCACACAACCTAGCAAGGCTTGTTAAGCCTTCACCTTATGCATCACTTTTGCAGGAAACAAAATATTCGGAGTGGTATCTAAGCCTAGCAAGGAGATCCAAAGAAACACCAGGAAATGATAAGCTCATTGATTACTGTCTGTAAGGTGCTCATTATACCAAGAGATCAGCCTCCCTCTCCCAAAACAGAGTCACAGGCCACACTAAAACCAACTCCATTTGCACAAACTCTATTTTTTTTCCTTTCTTACCGATTTTTAAGTATTTCTTTGAAGAAACCAAGTTCTCCCATTCTGGAAAGAACTGGGCTCGATGCACTATGGTTTTAGTGCTGCTCATGAGAGTTGCTTATTTGTACTGCAGTGTCCTTGTTCCACTGGCACTTCTATCCCACAGCCACAAATGTTCCCAGGAGCCTCCCTGCTTTTGGGCCCACTCGTGTGCACAGAGGGCACAGCTCCTTACAGCTGACACTGTTCTCACTTCCAGCTGTCCCCCCTCATCTCCAGCTCAGGGACAGCTGGATCTCTGTTTGCTGTGGGCCATTTTATAGGCAACAGTTGAACTGGGCTTCAAGGAAAAAAATACTGTCAACTGCAGGCACTGAACAGCCTGATCAGCTCCCTGATCCGGTTCTCTTCCAGAGATTAATTAAAAAAAAAAAAAAAAGAATTATTAAGTACAATTTTACAGCTGCTAAAAAATTCAAAATCTGAAATGTGTATTTTGAAACATTCAGTGAAATGACTGATGCCCTGACACTCAAATCAATGCACTCCCAGGTAGGCTCAGAGGTGCTTCACTGAACAAAGGACCCACATTCAGCAGCTCTATTCATAGCCCAGGATGATTCAAGTCAGAGAATTAGTGCAGTACCTTAAAATGACTCCAGGCATCCATAGGGACTGCAGGCAAAAATTTGTGAGAGTTCTCGAGTTACTGAATGGTGCTTCTTACAATCTGTACTGCCCACACAAAGCACAAGTTACATAAGCTTCTCCAAAAATATTTCAGAAAGACTGAGGGATGGTTTCATCAGAAGATAATGGTCCAAAACCAATATAAAGTGATCTGGCACACTGTTCCTGCACGACCTCAGCCAACCCCTGGGTATTCCATATACCCATGGCGCTGCTCTGTCCACCAGCAACACTCCCCAGTTCACTCAAACACCACAGGAAGTCAAAAAAAATACTAATTCTGAACAAAAATTTCAGCTCCCAGTAGTTCAAGCCTCTCTTCAGTGCTGGTTTGCACAGTGTCTGCTGCTCCCCCTCTCCTCGTTCCTGCTCTGGCCCCTCACGCTGCACAGGGAATCAGATGGAGGGACAAGCTGAAGGAAATTAATCCAGCAAGAGGACGTTTGCAGCTCCCTCAGTTCCTACATCTGACCTGCCACACAGTGCTGCGAATAGAGTGAAATAGGAGAGAAGAAGCCCTCTGGCAACTGCTTTAACAGCCCCCCTGCAAATGTGTTAAATCCCAGCCTCGAGGAACTCGGATTTTGCCTCTAGCGAACGGCTCTGTTGTCACATGAGTGATGGCAACTCCGGGCAGAAGACAGGATTTGCACACATTTTCATCTCAGAGCACACCTAAAAAAAGTTAACATCAGAGGCAGCATTCCCAGCAAGGATTTCTGTAGCAGTTCCAGCTCTTCTGCCAGTCCTGCCAGGGAACAGCAACCTCGAGCAGAGGGTGAAACAACAAATGGGTGTGGTAACAACTTTTCAAACTGCTCCTGCAAGAGGCTCCAGAACACATGTGACCCTGCCCCTCGGCCAGTGTGGGGTGTTCCACTGGGGAACACACCTCCCAAAGCCTGGGCCCAAAAGTCCAGGGGGATCTCTGCAGGCTCTGCGTCCTCTGCATCCGTGTTACCAGAGATTATAATCACAGACTGATGCACAGCACCCAAAAATCAGCTGGCTCCCTTTTTTCCACACAACACTGCTACACAAACCACAGTCTAAGAGTTAACTCTCCTCTAAGTCCATTCGAGGCATTTACATGAGGACAGATGTGTAGGCAGGGCACGTTTCCCTTCCCTTCCGCCAGGAAACATCGACCTGGCTCTGGAAGTCATCAATCATTATTCCTCTTAAAAAAAGCAAACCCAAACTTCTTCAAAAGAGTGAACAGTGAAACAAACCCTTTCTGCCACAAGGACACAAAAGGATTAGAATCAGGAACAAAAGCCAACCAAAATAAACCTCAGCTTGAGGTTTTTCTAAACTATGACCTACCTTTTCCACATGAAAAACGACAACCAAAGCTACTTAAGTCACTTGAAACTTCGCTACCAATTAAGTGAGAAAAGCTTTCAACTAATCAGTTGTATGAAGTTTCAGGAAACAGGGTGCAAAAGGAAGTGTTTTAAATTCTACAGGGACATAACCTGCATTTGTATTTTGTTGTGTATTGGTTTCCCCCAGCAAACAGGAAGCAGTGCAAGGCTCTGCAGAGCTCCACGAAGACCATCCTCCTTCCTGAGCGTGGCCCACCCAGGGACAGCCTGTGGATGTCACCCACCTGACTCAACCCACCCAGAAACCACAGCAAACAGATCCTTCTGGAAAGGTTGGCCCAGGACTCCAACTCCCTCCTAACCTGAAGTGAGCCAACCCACGATCAAGAGATAAAGTTTCTTTCTCCAATTCTCACACTGTCACTAAAACTAAATCCTTAAAAGACGTCTCTCTTCGGACTCAGGAAGAACAAAATTACTGTTTCCCAGTGCTGAAACACTTCTGGGTGCCACAGTGATGAAGAACAGGAGCAAATACTGAACAAAAGGAACAGAGAATCTACTGCAGAACAAAGGAACAGACAGAAAAAAATCCAGAAAACCCAGGAGAACAATGTAGGCAGAGACACCAAAAATTAAAGCTGAAAAAGGGAAAACAATGAAAGTGATAAAAGCAGTAGAGGTTCAGTAAGCTGATTTTTTTCAGTGGATTAGCCAAAAATGACCTATTAACATAGCTCCCAGCTGCTTTACTGCCTTGCTTTGCAGCAGGTTTTCCCCAGGGAAAAGGAACCATGCAGGTAAGTCTCACCATGGCTCAGAGCCTTCCCAAGGACAGCACAAGTTTTCAGGGCTTAAAATAAAAACTGAACAGCAACAACAGTGAAAGAAGTCCCACAAATTCCTTTATGTTACTCCAGCAAAAGAACTCAAGAAGTAAATAAATACACTTCAACAGAGCTGGCCAAAGAAATAATACAGCAATTATTTCAGACGGCTTGGGGTGGGAGACAAAAGTTACACATGTATGGTTCCAACTATTTTTTCCTGTAATGAGTTCAATATTTATCCAACTTGCATACATTATCTTCAAAGCCTGAGGTCTGAAACGCTTTTTCAAGACACACATTTTAATTTCTAGAATTCAAAGTGTTATAGCCCCTACAGGCTTCTAAGGAAGTTTTTCACCTCTATAAAAAACACCATCAACAGTTCCATGTCATCCCGTTTTCCTGAAAAACACAATTACTTCAAGCACAAAACAATTCCTCAGCAATCAGAAAAAACAAAGCCTAGCAATAATACTTGCCTGCTGTTTTTGATATGCAGTATTTGGATTTATCTTCGATTCTAACAGTAGTGAACCTGAAAAAGGTACGAAGAGACATTTACTGAGTTCAACAAAACAAACATCTCCACTCCTCTCACACCACTGCCCGTGTGCCAGCCAACACAGGCTCAGCTTAATCCAAATCTTACAGAAAATCCGGGAGAACCGCCTTCTTTAAATATAACTCCCTAAAATAAGCCGGGTAAGGCAGAACTCCACAGAAATATCCACGTGAAAACGTAGTTTTCTCTTCTAATTTAGTCTAAAATTCTTTGCAGCGCTCTTTCCTCACAAAACCTGGTGCAAGAAGCAGCTTGTTCAAAGGCCATTTACCAAACCTGCACGAGTTTGCAGCAGTTAAGGTGCTGCCCAGCATAAAAATGTTTTTTGCCCAGGGAAGCCACGTGGGCCGCTTGCTTTTATTCCCTTCAGCTGCCCTTCAGAAGTGAATCATTCAGATACTATAAGAGGGGACTTTATCTTGTGTATGCAAGTAGTGTATGTCTCCTGGCAACAGCTCCAGAGCAATTTATCCCAGTCTTAGGTGGTTTATTTAGCACATTAGCACCTGTCGGCTGATGAAGTGGGGAGCACGTACCTCCCCACTCCAAAAAAGCCCCTTTAAGGTGACTTTAAAGCGCAATAAAACACGAGGGACGCCACACGGCTCGAGTACAATCAGGGAATTCCTGAGGGGGAAAAAAAGAGCAAGAAACAAACAACTTTTTGCAGCAGTAAGAAAGGGAGGTGGTGGTGGTGGGGAGAAGCATTTCCAAAGCAAAGAAAATCATTCTGAAAGCGAACAAAATGTCGTCACACGTAACAACCCCGGCTCCGTGCAGGTGGAGGAGTTGCAGCTGGTCGGGGTAACTGCGTGGGGCTGAGTCAGGGCAGGGCCAGGTGGGGTTTTAGGGAAAGTTTTTCCCCCCCGAGGGTGGTTGGGCACCGGGCACGAACAAGCACATGGTGGGACCGGCGGGGTGGGTGTGCTGCGCAGGGCCGGGGGCTGCTCATCCCCAGGGGCCCTTCCAACCCAGCGTATTCCACCATTCCAGGACTCCACGAACTGGGGGGGGGGGGGAAGGGGGGGCCGGGGGACCGGGGGGGAAACACGGGGGGGGGGCGGGGGGGGGGGGAAAGGAAGGGTTTGGGCC